AATTGATGGTCGTACATCTAGGCGCTATATAGCTCAACAGCACTCATTCTATATGTAGGGCCCCAGCTTCTGCACTATGCGTACGTCCTCACAAGCTTTCCCGGCACAGGGGCCGGGGGTAAGATCCGATCGCCGCAGAACTAAAGAACAAACATCACGAACTGCCCCTAAGGGTCCATGTAATCATATGGTATATACATTGGCCTTATAATGTAGTCCCTATATAGGTACTTTAAGGCCCATGTATATGCTATATGAGTACATGGACCCTTAGGCTGCGGATCGAGGGTCCAGGTCTCGGTGTCTTGCAGGCCCTGCTTCGGGGGCTAGATTGAAGCTTCAACCCTAAACCCCTAAACCCTAAACGCCTAAACGCCTAAACCCCTAAACCCTTAACCCAAAACCCTAAGCCCTAAACCCCTAAACCCTAAACCCTTCATAAATCGATGCTTAGCCAGCGCAGGGACGGGTGTAGGGCTGAATTAGTTTACTTCCGTGCTAGATAAGTCGAAATTGAAAGGACTCAACAGTTATCATAGGTACCTCCACGAACGAAGTGAACAGCTAAACCGAGAAATGACACCTAGTCAAGCATGTTCAGGCTTTCGGGGTTTCGAGTTTTCGCGGTGAAGCCCTCAAGAAAAAGAGCACACGTAGGCCAGCTCGTAAGCTGGATTACAAGTACGGGAGAAACATACCCATGCCCCCACCTTAAGGACAAAATGACCCTTGAAAGTACGGGGCCCCATGCCTTTATACTATGAATCCCTATATATGGTATATGAACCTTAAACCCTCTTAGGGTTCATTTCCTCCTTGAGGCAGAGACACACCCTGAGCTCCTTCTACTTACAAGTGGCGCGTTGGCACAAACGCGTTGGACGAGATTCTTGATACGCCCAATCCCCAAACCTTTAAGTCTTCAACTAAACCCTGGACCCTAAACCCTAAACCCCAAAACCTAAACCTTGCATAAACCCTAATGCCATTGCACCCTGCACCAAACACACTGAGACTAATGACAAGTCTTCCCCGGCAACTGTAGAACAGCCGAAAGAAGCCACTACACGGCCGGCGGCCGCACGACTTCAATAGGGCCCTACTCTGGTTGAGTCTTGTAGGGTTTTGGGCCCCTAGACCAAACCCTAAATCTTTATGCCCCAAAGCCGAAAGAACGCCAAGCCTCTAAAGGGCACCGTTGAGTCTTCAAACCCCTACATTCCAGTCCCGTCCTCGAGCCCCAAACTTCCCTTCCAGGGTTTTTTAGGGTTTTAGGCTTTTGGGTTTAGGGTTTAGGGTTTAGGGTTCAGGGTTTAGGGTTCAGGTTTTTGGGTTTAGGGTTTGGGATTTAGGGTCTACGGTTTGGGGTTTAGGGCTTATAGGGTTCCCTCAAAGCACTGAAGAAGGCGCCTCTTCCCTGATGGGGGATGTAGAGAGGTCGATCGGCTCCTTGCCAAAGCAGTCGGTTTAGGGTTTAGGGTTTAGGGTTTAGGGTTTAGGGTTGAGGGTTTAGGGTGTAGGATTCAGGGTTCAGGGTTTAGGGTATGGTGTTTAGGGTTTAGGGTTTAGGGTTTAGGGCAGTGGACTCGAAACCCCGAAGCTCCGTCACCACAAGACCTGATGTAGAAGCCTTAAAAAATCGAACAGGGTTTTGGGGTAGGTTTAGGGTTCAGGGTTTAGGGTTTAGGGATATATTATACTAGAGCTATGATAAGGAACCCGCAACCCTCGCCTCCTGAGACCTTCAGGAACCAAGCCAAACCTGAAGACCGATGCCCTCAAACCCCGGGTTTAGGGTTTAGGGTTTAGGGTTAGGCTCCACATACAGTACCATTATGGAATTAGGTCCCAAAAGACTATCCTTATTATGGTTTTGGGAGCCTAAATCCATAACAGTTATATGGACCCTCTTGGTGATCCTATATTCCTACATTTACAGCCCGAGCAGAACCTTAAGGCCCTACGGGTCCAAGCTTTCGATCGCCTTTCGTGGTAGTTGTAGTCATGGGGCACGAAAGCTTTACAAAATGTGAGTCCTCAGAGCCCTAAGATCCTGAGTCCTCAAAGCCTTACAAACGTGAGTCCTCAGAGCTTCATATGAGAGCTCAGAGCCTTACAGTGAACTACCTAATTATGATGTACTCCTCCCAACTCTATCCGACAAAACTACTATCCTCAACCCTACTACGGAACTGTTAGGTCGGTAGACCCTCAATGAACGGACCGCTCCTCCATCAGGATTGGCATGGTGCTGCTGCGCGCTGGTGGAGACTCGCAGGCAATCAGCAGGTTAAGGGTTTCAGGGTTCAGGGCCTTGGGGGTTTAGGGGGTTCGGGTTTAGGGGTTCGGGTTCAGGGGTGTAGCAGGGATGTAATTAGAGACTTAAGGTCTAAAGAAGGGTTCTGTAAAGGTTTACATAAGGATTTCCGGATCCAACTCCTGGTCCTGGCTCTGTGACGCCAGCTGCCCGCCAATCCTAAACTCTAAATCCTACACCCTAAATCCTAAACCCTTAACCCTAAACCCTAGCACATGTGTTCGTAGCCCAAACAGGAACTGCAACAGAGACTAAAGGTGAATCAGAAGCCCAGACCCCCTACCTCAGCATTTCAGGACATGACGCCAGGATTCTTCTATGTTGATCACGGGATTTTTACACGCCGTGGGCATGTACCACATGATGAGTTTCTACTATAATCCAAGAGGGTCCGTACATACTCCGTACATACTACCATTATGCAATGAAGTCACCGAAACCATAATATGCATGGTCTTTTGGGACCTAATTTTCACAATGGTAGTGTGTATCCCTAAACCCTAAACCCCCAATGGTATTGCATATGGGCCCCCTGAGCATGGTAGCCTATGGCATTGACGCCAGAACCCTACGTCTGCAGTTGTGGCCACGAATCTCGAAACCATAATTAAGCACCATGATCTCGGGGTCTTCGTACATAGAATAGAGCCGCAACAGCGAATACAGGGGCCGTGATGATTAGGATATGATCGTGTGGTATCTGTTGCATAAAATCACAGGACCCCTAAGGAATAGTATGACTTGCTTATAGACCTACTCTGTTGGACGCATGTCTATCCTGCACGACCTGCTCAACACAAGGTCGGCTTGCAGGTTCTTGCAGGACGTAAGACTTAAGATAAACATAGAAGCGCCCTTAGCCTTAAACCCTAAACCCTAAACCCAAAACCCTTATTGGATCCCTTATAGGAGCCTTTGTAGTAGCCTCAACCCTGGGTCCTTGGCATCAGAGTCGCTGTCTGATAGGAAACCTTGGCCAAGAGATGAAGTTGTTGGTTTATGGTTTAGGGTTCTGGGTCTAGGGTTCAGGGATTTAGGGTTTAGGGCTCAATGTTTGGATTCAGGATTTAGGGTTCGGGGGTTCGCTTTGCAAAAAATGTGTCTGGCTGTTGAGTTGAACCACACTCGCACTCACGATATCAGAAGCAGCCCCAGTATATACGAAGACCCAAACCCAAAACCCAACTGCAATCCAGTGTAGGGAGGGGCTTTGGGTATGCCTTCCCAGAGACTCCAAAACCCCTTAATTAAGGAATGTACCGTAACTCATATTAGGGATCCTATTATAATTTAAGGTATATTACTTAATTAAGGGGTTTTGGAGTCTCTGGGTTGGTTGGGCCCGCAGCTCAAAGCGCTCCGGCCTTGCATCGATACCGGCTATACCTTAAGAACCCGAAACCGGCTTTTTGTAGGGTCCCTATAAATCCCATATTAGGGTTTATGATAGGAACCTACAAAAAGTGGGTTTTGGGTTCCCCAAACCCTAAACCCTAAACCTTCCCCAAACCCTAAACCCTAAACTTTCCCCAAACCCTAAACCCTAAACTTTCCCTAAACCCTAAACTTTCCCCAAACCCTAAACCCTAAACTTTCCCTAAACCCTAAACTTTCCCTAAACCCTAAACTTTCCCTAAACCTTAAACCCTAAACTTTCCCTAAACCCTCGACTTTCCCTAAACCTTAAACCCTATGTGCAGGTCAAATGTATGGAGGCCTTCAACATCGAGGGTTCAGGGTACCGCATTGGGTTTGGGGCTCCGGGGTTTAGGTCTGGCCTCAGGGTTTATAAGCAATTTGTATTTATTTCTTTCTTGAGGGTTTTTTTTTTAAAGTGCAGTGGCCCCCTTTCTCCGCAGGAAGTCGGCGCCCGCCTGTATCAGGCTTGCACTAGGTGGCAGGGATGTACAGGTGGCCACCAAATCCATACTGCATCACAGCAGCATCAGGAAACAAACAGACAGAAGCTCACATACTGAAGCTCACTTCCTACTTATGGCAACAAGCTCATTTCAGATGTCCCTACTACGGCTTCTCTCACGGCCTCCGACGCCATGCGCAGAAGCATCCCCTCGAACCTCCGTATCTCCCTCGGATGGAATTCCCTGGTCGTCACCGTAACTCGGCTCACTTCCATCACTGTCTGACGCATTCGGGCCTCCAGGTATTTCAAGTCCGTCACCAAGTAGTGGCCGAGCAGGACGTGCTTCCACCGGTCCCATGGCTTGGGCAGGTCCTGCAGTGTCACCTGTGACGGCTGTCAGTCGCGAAGCCTCTTGACGAGCATCACGAAGAACTGGACCAGGACGAGGAACACGTTGTCGTCGTCGATGGTGGCTTCCTTGACGACCAGGTAGTCGTGCAACCGCAGGAGCTCTTTCCAGACTCGCGAGGTCACTGGCGTCATCCGCCTGAACGATGTAGAGGGCTTCATCCTCCTCGGACACCCATCTCCCTTCCGGGACAGTCACCCCAGCACGGTGGTGCAAGGCCCTGGCATGTTGGCGCCACACTCGTCGACGAAGTCCAACAACTGTGTGACGTTGTAGCTGGGGTAGACTGGCCCAGAGCGCATCCAGTGACTGCGGTAAACCCGGTCTCAGCAGTACCGCCAGCGAGTCCACTTCATGCGTGGTTCCCGACAAGGATGTCGACGAGCCGCAGGCTGCTTCCCCCGAGATACTGTGCCAGATGTGGGCATCGTTGGTGGGTCCGTTCAGTACCGGGGCATTGGCAGTGGTCTGAACCCAAGGCAGGGCCTCTTCAATTGCCACCCCTGTCAACCGCAGCAGGTGTTGAAGTTGACGCTGCCTTGCAAGGAGGCGGTTGATGACGTCCACCACGTCGACCGGGTTGGCGAGGACCATTTCCCGTTGTACCGTATCACGGACCACGTCTGCCGGCTGTAGAACCGAGGATGAGGTCGTGGAGGTAGAGGAGCACCAAAGGGGCAGCATCACCCCACTGTCTGTACTTTCAAGGGGATGCAGTCCGAGGCTCCGTTGTAGACGTAGTTGCTGTAGGAAAAGCCGTTGAGCGTGGTCGTCTTGGCTTTGCTGCTCCCGGTTACCGTCCTGCTCCAGAAGCTCGAGACAAGTCTGCACGGTCGCACAGAGCTTCAGAGCCGGAGACAAGAGAAAAGCATGAGACGCCCTCGTCGACAAGATGAGCTCAGCAAGTGCCATCCCATCCACGTTCATCACTCCCTCGTCCTGGTTGATCCCGACGAATCCTTCGACGAATTTGTGGCTTCTCGCGTACGCCTCGATAAGAGAGTGGACGCACTTGTCGACGCAAGATCCAAGAACATGACTGACATGGAGGATTCCTGAATCCCATTCATCGCGGACACCGTAGCTGAACTTCTCGTTCATGAACTCCCGCACGGTCTCGATCTCCTCCTCCAGTTGTAGTTGTTGGCCTTCAGCTCGTCAAGGACGACGAAAGCTCCGTCCAAGGTCGACGCAGCCACGCACACGGAGTACACAATCTTGCGCTCTATCGTAGTGAGCCCCGCTTCCTCGAAAGCCTCCTCCAATTTGCGCTTGTAGACCTTGGCAGTCAAGCCGCTCAACTCCGTCAGCGGGACATTGGCCTTAATCTCGAGGTTGTTGGAGCTCGGCGAGCTCGTGTCAGCCTTCTTAGGCTTCTTCTTCTTGTCCTCCAAACTTTCCTTCTTAGATTTCCTCTTCGCTTCGCTCCTGGCCTTCCTCTTCCTGTGCTTCTCCTTCTCGTCGGTGGCTTTGTTCTCGTCGGTCAATTCCAAGACGGGGGAGGTGGACTCTTCCATGATCAAGACGTTTACTTTCTTGGCTAACGTTAACCTGAAGACCTTGATCTTGAGCCAAAATGGCTACAGGGTTTAGGGTTTAGGGTTCAGGGTTTAGGGCTTAAAGTGAGCATACAGTGTGCGCGCAACGGGGTGCGTTTTTTGAATGGGGGCACCCACTTATCGCGCGCTTGCGTCAGCATTTAATCCCGCCCCAACCACCCCAATCAAAAAGGGTTTAGGGTTCGCCCCCCAAACCCGCTCAAGCAGAGCTTTCTTGCCCTTTGCTACGCTTCGCAGTTCGATGCATGAACGACTACATTTCACAGCAAAGGTATCGGGTTGCGGATCCTCGTAGCCCGCGCCGGCCGCGCGACGAGAAGGGAGGGTTTCCAACAAACAACCCGCCCCTCGCGCTCTGCGAGGGTCGCTCGAAGTGTAAACATCTAACCCGTTGGGGCAGGCCGCAAATGGAGGTTAGAGCAGGCACTGCCATACAGCCTTGAAAGCCTCCAAAACAAGCTGCTGAGCCCTGGTTTTCTGGGAGAAGAAGCGATTCGCTGCTGTTACCGTCGTCGTCTATTCCGTAAATTCGTAAATCGCCCGGCAAGCGGCCCAGGAGCTGACAGCCTGGGCCCTCAAACCCCCCTGGCAGTACCCCCAGACACCCCCAGACAGACCCCAAAAAGCATGGTTTAGGGTTTAGGGTTTAGGGTTTAGGGTTTTGGTTATTTGCAACGATAAAAAAACAGTTGGGGTCCTCGCTACATTGGGCTGACGCCCACATTGTGTGAGGTGTAGCCGAGTGATTTCCGTCCCTGCATATTGGGAGGCTTTGCCCTCCTTTACCGTTCTGTCGAGACGCGCTCTGACCAGTTTAGGGTTCAGGGAGGTTGAAGGTTTAGGGCTTAGGGTTTAGGGTTTTGGTCAGTCGGGATGTCGTGGCTATCTGGCGGGAAGTGTGGGTGTTAAGAAATCTTTGTGCGCAGTTCTAGGTTGGCTTGGTCCTCACAGAAGAAGGGCCGTTATAACGAGGATAAGCAAACACACAGCTGCACGTCCATGTGTGCTCCAGAGAATCTTTGGCACGTCTAGACTCTTGCCGCTGTGTCTCGGCAATAACATGAACTCCAACATGGCATAATTAAGCAGCTTTTGCCCCACTAGAAAGAGCCCTCGAAACCCTAAACCCTAAACCCCGAACCGGGTTTAGGGTTCGGGGAGGCGGGGGGGGGGGGTCGGGGTTAGGGTT